GATACCGACGGTTGCAAGAACGTCAAGAGTATCCTTGTCGCAAGGGTCAATACCGTCAAAGACCAGCGCCACGACAATCTTCTGCCACGCGGGTCCACCCTTGTTCCAGAACTCGGATTTCTTCAGGTTGACAATGTCGCGAATGTTCTGCATCACACCGTGCAAGGTACGGGCCGTTAGATTCTTATCCTCGTTGTAGTAGGTAATCGCGATGAGCAGCTCCGTATGACGGTTGTACATCGCGGGGCGCAGATTGTAACCATTGTGGAGAGTGAATTCGTTAGGATCACAAGTGGCTGCGGTGTCTATGAAGTGAAGGCTCGTTAGTTTTTCTCTTAGAGCCATATGTTCGGTCCACACGTACATCGCATGTGGGTAAACTCCTCGCTTCCACCTTCCACGTCGTTGCGGTATTTGGCTTGGATGGCATTCTGGATGGCACTGGGCACGGGGTAGTCGACACTCAGAACGGAACCCTGCACTAGCTTGACCTTCCTGGTAGCATATCTGCGCAAGCCGCCGCCAGCACCACCACCGACACCACCGCCCCCAGGGGCCTGTCGCTGGCGCCAAGCCTCTGTGGATGAGGTTTCGCTGCGGGCGTAGGGCGATGCAACTCGGCCGGGGACCCCAAAGGCTGCCGCGGTGGTCTCATCCTGGCCGGAGTAGACGTTGCCAGTATTATATGGGTCGTGGTACGAAGGGGCGGTGTCCGCTGCATAGGTCTCCGTCAAGCTGTACCCCGAAGCTGGGCGCTGGGGAGAAACGCCGCGCGAGTGGGGGTCATCAAAGGGCGTCGCGAATGGACCTTGCTGTTGGGACAATAATCCGCGGGCTGCATCCTCATCCTCGCGATACTAAAGAAAAAAACACCGAGGTCAGTTCTAGCAACTAGTTCACCGCCTCTCCACACACATACCTGCGAAGATGGCACATCCTGCAGATGAACACCGTCATCGTAGCCCGGGGAGTGCGAGCCAGAGCCGTGGTAGGCCATGGTGTCGCAAAGGTTGAAAAATCAGAAAGGGATGTGTTTCAAAGCTGACAGGAGAGGGGTATCTGTTCAAGCAGGGCGCATTTATGAACAATTATCGAAGCAACGGGGCTAGGGGAAGGGAGAAAGTGAAATCTGTTTTTCCCGAGAATCTTGGAATATTGCAAATGTTTTGAATCAAGGGTCAAAGAAAAGAAAGGAAGAGAAGGGGGGGAAAGGGTAAAAAAAAAGGGAGACAGTCAGACTAGAAGGGTCAAAAATAGACCGTCTCTAACCCCGTCCTGGTTTAGTTTCCCCTTTATTTTGGGCGTTTTTTTCATTTGACTAGTTTATTGGAATTATTTGTATCTTTAAATATGTACGGAGTATTTATTTTTGACTATTCTATACTAGCCATGGATATCCTTTACTTAGTCGTAAATCGCATACATACTCCATGTCCATCCCTGGAGAACAATAGCCCGATGGCCCCCCGAGGCACTATGGAGGACCCTAACTGGTTAGGAGACGAAAGTTGAGATGATAGGAATTCTTACATTTACTCTAGTCTCCTTTTCGTTCTGATTCGTGGCCTTCTATTGATTCTATGATGCTTTGGGTAGGGAGCAGCCTTGGAACTACATACAACATACATACTCCAGATCTTTTATACGTGGTACTGAGTGGACTAGAACACCCGAACCTAATAAACTTGCTCCACTGGTGAAACACTTGGTGAATAGACCTCTCATATAAGAGTTCAGTTTGGTTCACCTAGGTAGATATAGAGAATTCATTCCACATTCTTGAGAGAACAACAATACCATTGGAAAAGGCTTGACACTTGGGGCGGTATGCCCGACTCCACTATAGGTGTTTGAATGCCAGCACATAAATGTGTTCAAAGCCCTCGGCTATAGCGTCCCGTTTTAATTCCTCAATTGCAGGGCTGAGCTTATTCTGTAATTCTTTGTGTATAGTTATTCTATCATTCTACCAAGTACTCTAGCATGAAGTATACTCTGAGGTCACCTGACTCTGATAATTTTAGACCTCACTGTGGGCCCGAAGCATTTAGCGTATGTATATTGTGCTGTGCCAAGTCGATTAGCCTATTATATTCCAAGGTTAACATTAACCTTGGGCTGAGTTGTGCTGATGTTCAGCCTCGTAGTTAGTTCATTTCATATGCGGTGGCTATGTCACTGCGCCCCGTGGTATACGATGATTACCATGGGTTGAAAATTTCGAATCTTAATTTCCCTTAATTTCCCTTAATGTCCCTGATTTCCCTTTTTTCCCCGTTTCCCCAATTCGCCAAGATAATAAGATTTCAGTGACCCTATTTGTCTGGTCCACGGCAGTTAGAGATTAATTGCCGCTAACCTGATTGGGAAAATACACCAGAAACAACACCCGGACAACAAGATCAGCAGACAAACCAAACAAACAAGCCAAACAAACCACAAACAAACCAAATCAGACAAACAGCCAACGAAAAACTCTATTTCTCGCAATCTTGGAAAATCGATGATCCGAGAGTCCAGACCCGCGGACCACTTGCAGGCACAGTAAGATGTCCACTTCTGTTCCTCGCATCCATGTAAGGTGAACATGGGATGAAACAATCTGATAGCATATTTAATATTAAAGGCTGTAGGATCTCGATTTTGCTTCAATTTCCCCTGCATTTTTTTCGCCTTATATCCTCTCTACACCAGACCTAGGTACTACTATAAAATATACACCACAAACCGTTGTGTACCTGACTACCCCGTATATTACCCGTGGAACCTCACGGGCCCGTGACCAAAGGCCCCCCCAATTATCCCCCCGTCTCTCTTTTGACTTGTCATACTCTCTATCTCCCTGTCTCTCTCTCATCCATTCATCTATTCTCCCCACACTGATCTTGCGATCGCGTGTGGTTTGTGAGTCGATTTTCTCTGATACGCGCGTCGGGCCAACGTCAACAAATCAAGCCCCCCCTATCCCGACCGTCTTTGACATATACAATCCCTGTCAAGTGTCTGGACCATTCCGAGGACCATGACCATCACTTAAATCGCATCTCGATCTTGATTTCACACACGACACTCGTTTCCTGCCACGCCTAACGGCTCGGCTTTGATGATCTACTGTTTACGCTCACGACTTGACGCCGATTGAGCACCTTACACTCCTTTTTTCTTATTTTATCTTGCACATTCTTTGCCGTTGACCGGCTTTATCGATATCTTTCTCTGTTTCATCTCGATCTTCCTCGCCTATCATGTCTTTCGAACCCATGGATTCCGCCTTCTCCCCCGCCCGCTCCGTCTTCAAGCGCTGCAAGCAGTGTGAAACCACATCCCCCGCCTGTCCCGCCTGTCCCGATGGATCAATATGTACCATGACCGCCCCGAGCTGTGATGAATGCGCCACCACCAAGTGCGTTTCAACGGGCGCCGCGCCCTCGAACTCCGGGGGCACCGACACTGGCGCTATTGCTGGTGGTGTTGTCGGAGGCGTGGCTGCCATCGCCATCGTTGTATTCTTGATATGGTGGTTCATCATCCGAAAGAAGCGCCTGGAGCGCCAGGAGGCGGAGAAGAACGGTTCATTCGCAGCGGCTCGCAGCGAACGCCAGTCCATCGCCTCTACAGTCCTAACCCGTGCCTCCAATGTAATCCAAATCGCTTACATTCCTGGTGTCACCAACCGCTCTCCACCGCAGACCCCATCCACCCTTATGCCTCCTATTCCACCGCTTCCTGGTGCGACACCCGATCAACACTTCTTCATGCCCGGTGACCTGCGCGACTCGTCATGGACAACCACTACCGGCCACCAGAGCATCTCCCCCACTTTGCGCAGCAGTGTGGCCACCACTATCTACCGCAACGATGCCATTGTCAGTGCCGTTCCTGCGCAGCAGATCCAGCGGACTCGGGCAGCCGTCGTGAGTATCCACAACGGAGGACCTGGGTCGGCAAATGCCCCTGGAGACGACTCCCCTGTTACTGTCACGATTACCCCTGCAGACGCACCCGCGGTCCCGGCCATTACCCCGGCGCAACTCGCTCGGGCGGAGGCTGTCAAGGGCAACAGTTCATGTATTGCTCGCAGTGTGACCGCCAAGCCAGTGATGGTGCGTGGCCCTTCGGTGAAGAACAAGCAAGCCAACAACGCGCCCGCTGCCAACCGAGTCGAAGAGCTGTCCGGGAATAGTAAAAGCAATAACACCAGCCCGACAGTATCAACCACAAACAGCAACCAGTCCAGTCCGTTCTCATCGGTCGAAGATGAAGCTGCCGATTCTTCGATTCGCGACGCACGTCGCGCTTCCGGCTTGAGTGACGGACGTAACTCCCCTCGGACGCCACCCGCACGGGTAGAAAGTCCATTCTCGGATGCCAATGAGGTGAAATGAGCTGGTCTGGGACCAACTGGGCGCAACGGTTTTTCTATTTTGTGATTTCCCACTCTGCTTTCTCTGTATGTATGGAGCCTACCATGGCTTTTTGTACCTTTTAGATATGTCCTTCCTTCGGGTGCCTTGTACAGCGAGTGTTGGCACACTGAGATGGGATTGTCGATCGAATCTTTACTCTCATTCATTTTCATTTTGGAGTATCATACCTTCACATTCGTACTGCCATGAGAATCCGTGTCACACTGTCCTACGGGCTTCTTTCGTTAGACTACCATATCTCGATCGCGAATTTCTAGAAGCTGAAACAGATAAAACGTTTAAAGTAGTCGCAGAATTAAAATGAGACCCTTCGCAGTGCACTTCTAGAGTCACACTCTTGGCCACTAGCTCGCAGACGGGCTTGTGAAGTCTTTATATGGAAATAATATCACCATACTTTCATTAATATACTTGAGACTAACTATAGGAATTTACTCTCAGCACCTGATTACGTCTTTTTCGCATTTGTTTGTGTTGTTTTTCTTTTCCCCTCCAACCTTGTTTGTTATATATTTTCCAGCTTGAACAACGCCAAACATGCAAGACCTACAACATATAAATCTACCAGCTCCTCTAACCCGCCCCAAGATCCCAAAACCTCTTAAACTCGCTATCTCGCTTTAGAAGAGCACGAGGATTATCCCATTCTAGGAGCCGACCACCACCCATAACAGCAACACGATCGAAATCAACGACGGCACCGAGGCGATGTGCAACAGCAATGACGGTACAGCTAGCAAATTGCTCGCGCATCACATCCCGGATGAGCCGCTCGGACCGTCGTCGTCGATTTGCTGCTCCTGTCTGCTCTGCTGTCGACGAAGGACGATAAGGTTGTCGCGGAGGCTTGTATGCTTTTAGAAAAAAAGGGTGCTGCGGACAACGGCCACTGCAGCGCGCACAACCTGCCGAGGCAGCGTCGTGATGTCGACGCCGTCGATGGTAATGTGCGAGCCGGGACCGACTTCCAGGAGGCGCAGGATACAGCCCAAGAGCGAGCTCTTGCCGCTCCCACTGCGGCCACAGATGCCGACCTTGGCACCGGCGGGGATATCGAGGCTCACACCGCGCAGGACGGGCTCGCCGCCATCGTACGAGGCCACCAGATCCTTGATGGTGACGCGGCCGTGGGGAGGCCAGTTCCAGGGCACGGTACCCGTCTCAGTGGGTCGGTTCTCCGACTCGGTGTCGGTGCAGAATGTCTTGACGCCGCGTCCAGTCCTGGATGACGTGCGCCAGCGACTGGCCGAACGACATCACCTGCACGAAGGCTAGGGCTACGTACTGCGCTGACAGCTGCGCTCGCAGCTTCACGACCAGGACCATCATGACTGTCACGAGGACGGCGGTCAGTAGGTCGAGTACGAGGCCTAGCCAGCGCTGGATGCAGAAGAGTAGGTAAAAGGGTCTTTGTGAGGCGTCGAGAAGCTCTAGGTACTGATCGATGAAGCGTGGACCCCATGCGAACGCCCGTACCGTGGACAGGCCCTGGAGGAGGTCGAGGAACTGCGTGAAGAGGGGGGATTTGGCTTCGAGGTCAAACAGACGGATCTGCCGAGACGTCCGCACGTAGAACTTTTGCAGCACTGTAAGAGGTTAGTGCCGTGATTTTTTGTGTCACATTAAGGGGCTTGGGGGCGCTGTTAAAAACTCACACCAGCAGAAAGCGACGAAAGGAACAAGTGCGGCTGCAAAATACCCAGAAAAGACACACATCAGGATGACCGACATGTCCTGGCTGAAGCGATTCGTGGTGACTCCGACGTCGGTACGCGAGAAGAAGGCCACTGGGGCATTCATGACGGATTAGAGAAGACGGGCGTGGAGAACCTCGGAGCTCGAAGCCACCATGACGACCAGGAAGAAATAGGCAGCCCCTGTGATGCCCAAGACGGCGAGACCAGTGAGCATTGCGAAGAGACCGAGGTAGTAGTCATTGGTGGCTTGGCCGGATCCTTCTGCAGTGTCTGTCCAGAAGCTGAGTACGAGTGCCGTCATCCGATAACTTCCCGCGTACAGAATGGTGAGGACAGCGAACAGTATGGTCATACAGGGACGGAGCCAAAGTAATACGCATATGTGACAAACTCGCCGAGGACTCGTCCGGGCGATTCAGAGTCGTCGCTGTCCTGTTCAGCATCTTGTTCATATCGGCCCCGAGGAACAGTCTCGTGGCGATGCTGCACCATGCGCAAGCTGCGTCCTGCGTGTCAATCGCGCCGTTCTGCTCGACTGCCAGCCCATGCAGATAATCCGTATCGGATTGAAGTTGGGCGAATGAGCCTTGGTGCACGATATGGCCGCTTATCCACAGAGCGACGACATGATCTGCATAGGCGAGTCTATGGATGGCATTCGTGACACAGACCATAGTTATGCTCATCTGCCGGAAGAGACCCGTCTCGGCAAAAAGATTCTGGAAGGTGTGCTCCTCGGTCGCCGCATCCTGCCCTGCAAAGACATCATCCAATAAGACTGTCTTTTCTCTGGAGTAGACGGCTCGGGCCAAGGCGAGCCGCTGCTTTTGGCCGCCGCTTAACGAAAACCCCGCGCTGCCCGCTCTTGTCGCATCTCCGTCGGGAAGTTCGTTGATATCTTGCTCCAGCCCGCACGCGTAGACAACTTTGTCGTACCATTCCGCGTCGTAGCTGGCACTGCCTAGGATATTATGGCGTATCGTCAGGTTCTGGATCCAGGGCTCCTGACTAACAAACGCGATATTGCCGGGATCGGCATGGATGGAACCCGCTCGGAGTGGGACTTCTCCCAAAAGGGCTCGTATGAGGATACTCTTGCCTGAGCCCACGGGTCCGACGACGAAGGTGAAGCAAGACCTGCGGATGTCGACGGTGATGTCGTTGAGGATGTCTGGCTTTCCGGGAACCCAGCCAAGACTGGCTCCTGATATCGCTACAAGCGTGTCTCCTTTCTCATTGTCTTGGCTTGGATGATGATCCCGCTCGCTCAAGGGCAGTTTGTAATCGGTACAGCTTTCCGACAACAAGTAGGTTTGAATGCGAGAAAAGCACGCGAGGGCGGCACTGACGAATGGGATGGTACGAAACACGACAACCATGGGGTCCGACAAGAGGTATATCAACGAGAGCGAGGTATAAGCAGACCCCGTGTTCAATGGCTGACCAGTGCTCTTGGAAACAACCACAAAGGTTGCAAAGGTCGCCAAAGGGGCGATGGTCGCCGTGTTCATAGCTGCTCGGCCAAAGGAGTCAGCAGCGTCGTGACGACACGTTGAGAACGCGGCAGAGCAAGGGTTTATAACTCAGGTACTTACCAATGAAAGTCTGTATGGCCAACAGTCTGCGATACTGCTTGGACAAGTCTAGCTCTGTGACGCGGAGGTTCTGTATCATGTTCGCGACAATATCTGATAAGCCAAGCATTTTGACTTCCTGCAGCAAACCGATTAGTGCTGTAGCTTGTCATCGAGAATAGGTATTATCAGCCGTTCCCGCTGGATCCTAACCTTCATGGATGTGAGGACGGAAGCCGTTACATCGACCCGCGTTTGGATGCCCCTCTTCCATCTCTTCTTGGCCATGCCAATGAACCGGGCAAGCTGAAACATGCCAGCAGTGGCAATGATTGCTACAACGACCGGGGCCAGCGCAGCAAGGCCAAGCTGCCTGTACAGGAGAAATATGGCAACTGCAGACTCGATTGGCGAGGCCCAAAGCTCGTGCAAGGTTGCGGCGCTTTGGCAGATACTCTCGGTGTCCGTGGACATGAGCGATACCGCCACGGACCCGTCGAGAGCCGTGCTGCGGAGATCCAACGTCTTGGTGTAGATCAAACTGCAGAGGCTGCCGCGAATCGAAGTGACAAATCGATATGTCATCTGGTAATAAAAGCAGTTCGAAATTGCTTGCCCAAGGAAGACCAGCAGCCATGCGCCCGTCAGTCTCCATCCAATTGAATCCGGCTGCGACGGATCGGCTGTCCAGGAAGTCGTCCTGGTGATGAGAAAGGGCAGCGTGTACTTGAACGCTGCCAATGCAAGCCGGGGTGCCACGCCAGCCAGAAAGATATACTTGGTGGCCCACAACGTGGAGAAGGCCAAGGCATGGCGGCTGGACTGGTTTGATGCACCAAACGAGCTTCGTGCTTTGGGGAGTAGTGTTCGTGCCGCTAGGCTGTCATGAATGGGGAACAGATCATGATCGGTGAGGGAGCGAGCGAACCCGGTTCGCATCAATGAATTCAGCCACCAGAAGACACTCCGGGCCAGTATGCCACTGGTTGCCTCTGGGGAGAGATCCTGGTACTGGGACAGGAGTATCGGTCTCTTTTCCCAAGCCTCCGAGGTCAAGACAAAGAGTTTGATCGCGACAGTTGAGGTGAAGAGGCCCGAGATTATGGAGTCATGGTCGGAAAGCCACAGGGTTCTCGCGATGACACTGTCAAATAGCAAAGTAAAGAGTAGATAAACGTTGATGATGGTCGATGGTCGCACCGAGCGCGCGTGCTCAGCGTGGGACAGGAACAAGAGCAGAAATCCATCGACGAAGGCGAGCACGGCGGCGGACGTCCGCAACCGAGAGAAAGGCCACTTCTCTGCATTCAGAGCCCAGTACACCAAGACTGCAAGTTGTAGAGCCGTGTAGACGCCGATCAATCCCTGCAGTTACTGAACCAGTCAGTAGTTGTTTTTTCTTGGGCCAGAGAAAAACTAGGGCGGAGGTTATCACGTGCCACTTTCACGATTGGCCGGTGGCTTTTGGCGACCTTGCGAGGCTGTCTCGCGAGCCAGAAGAGACGCTGTAGGGACACAACCAGAAAGAGAGCCGAAGGGACGATGCAGAGAATGGCGTCCTCGAAGGCTGGCATAAAGTCGAAAGCGCCTGTGCTAGCAACGACGGCAAACCGAGCTTCGGGCGGCATTTCTAACCTCTCACCTAGCTATCCTTTGGAGCCTTAGCAAAATACTCCAAGGCTTTCATTGGAGAAGTTGGTTATATTGGGCTGGTTGCGCGATGTGAAGGAATCTGGTGCAATATTACGTTTCATGGCGTACTGGCGGTTGGAGACTGCCATAGGAAGGGAATCGGTCAAATACATAGATTTATCATTAACGTTTGTTCAAGACCTGCTTATTGGTCAGGTAAATTGATACAAGGTCAATGAAATGATGATCAGATCATAGAATTGAATCTTGTCTTCTCGTTCTGTTGTGCCCCTTTGTATACATCAGTACCCCGCTTCCAGGTCCCAACGACTTCCAGACCTATATCGTAGGCGGATCGAGGAACAGTACTCCGATCCATAGTTTTACAATGTTCCTCTTTGACAACGACGAATAATATTATGAAAGAAGAGATCCATAACACAACTACTCCGTATTCGAAGTGGCACCTACTAATCGGGAAGGTGGGTACTATAAGGGCCGGGCCGTGTTCTAGAACAACCACGATGTTGTACATATTCGTCGAATCTATCAATTTATTAAATTCTCATTAAATACGATGCTTGAAGTAGAGGCAAATAAGCTCTTAGCATTGGAGAAGATAGAGAGAGTAAGCCAGCTTTTGCTCAAACTAGGAAATAGGGCCTTGGCTGAGAGTGACAAGGGCATATCGACAAGACCTGATTTTGACCGTCACACTCTATAAGATGTACATTCTTTTAACACTATTTGACAGATTTCTTACGCATATATACAAGCTTCTGCACGCCTTCCGGTTGCTTGGTTGGATGATTAATATAGATTAACACTAACTAGAGTGGTTATTGGCCCATACCACTAAAATATATTCCCCGAAGTAAGCCAAACTGCGTTCAAATCCAAGTCCGATCCTAATAGAATCTATAACAGCCCGACAGCTTCCTTACTATATGAATATTCCACTCATCCCTGAGATTTTTCTTGCGTCTTTTCTGACGAATTGTGAGGTACGTCGGGGTTCTCATCCAATCGTTCGGTAACAAGCTCCTTCAGAGAATGTTTTGGAGAAGTACTGGGGAACATGTCAGACATATAACATGAATTGTCTATTGCTTCACTCACGATGTAAATGAATTCTCGTAGTCTGCCCGGATTTGCCTATCTGACTCTTCTTTGTCCACGATCTTTTGAAGGTCTTCAGGGAGAGGCTCCGAAATCGACTCTTTGTCTTCTTCGCGTTCAGGCATAATGTTTTAGGGTTTAGATACTATAACCGTGGATGTGGATAAGTCTAGAATCATTCCAGGTAGGAATGCGGATAATATAGGCTACTTTGTATAGATCAATGGTACCGTGGTAGACATAGAGGGCGACCCTCACGTTACTGACGTCACGCGAGAGAATCCGGTTATCTCCTGAACTTCGGGCGACCTGGGCCGTCCGATCGTGGAAGGTTCACGGGATGGTGAGTCATTATTGCTTCATTATGATGTAATGCGCCGAAATGGCCTGAGGTATGGATATCTCGGAAATATGTCGGCCAAATCCCCCCTCATATCTTCCCTCGCCATCCCCTCCATCGCGGTTTCTCAATTCTTGCCAATCTTTTCTAGCACAGTTGTACGGTTGCGGAAGTCATCATTTGACTAAAGAAATGTCCGAGAAAGAACAAAAAGACGGTTCGGCGGCTCTCGGGCTGCAGAGGACAGAGACCAAAGAGTCCCTGGAGGATTTGGGTATATCAGACAAGTCTCCACCATTGGACGTCAACTATCCAGAAGTTGGTCGTGCAGAAAACCCTGAATTCCCCGAGGAGTACACCATCGAGACGAAAACTGGCCTCGTCCCCGAATCAGCACTGAAGCAGGTACGCTCCGAGGCGAGCCAGCACAAGGCCTCACGGGAAGACTCGAGAGAGTCAGGAAAGCGCTAGTGACCTTCTCCTCGACGACAATGAGAATCATCATGCTGTCTCTCTGGTTGCATCATCTGTGATTGTCTACATTGCATATTCCTCGTCTACCGCCACCGACTTCGACTCGAGGGATCGAGCTTCATTTGGGAAAACTACAACGTCTCGCTCGAGGTCACTACATTCACTTGCTCTATCATCGTCTGTGGATTCGTCACGCCTCTGCTTTGGTCTCCTTTACCCGACATAATTGATCAAGGACCTGTATACATTGTCTCGCTGAGTCTGTGTTTGCATTCAACATATCATGTGCTCTGTCGCCGAATATTAGCGGACTCCTTGTCTGCATGTTCTTGTGTTGCGTTCCGGTTCTGGACTATCGCTGGCCGGGGATTGAAGAGCCTATCTTGATACAGCTCCTTATTGTGGTTCTGTCATCCGCCCGATTGTTTGCGGTTGAATCAACATTGGCTCGCATCTTCTTGAATCGTTCTTTTGCGTTAATATAGCGTTTTCTCGTTAAAGCTATTCTTATTATATACAAATCCCTAATTTTCCACTATATAATGACATTACTGGTGTTCGAAGAAAAATTAATTCAATTCTGCCGGACTTAATTCTATACTTTTGAATCCTACTTGATATACAGAGTAGTCAGAAAAACCCTACATTTTGATCAGATAAAAACGTGTATTTGATCGCACGCCTATTGTTTCAATCCCTTGATGATGATAGAGCAGTCGTTAAAATAGTTGTTGAAGCAGTTGTTGACGATGAAGTAGTTGATGTGATAAAAGTGACTTAATTTTGTTAGTGGTTTATATACAAATTGTAGGTACTATCCAGGGGAGGGGGTCAAATGAGCAAGGGGAGTCCCTGTCAGAACCCCCTATTCTTCTTATACATACCTCAATCATTCTAATCAATATGGCAGGCAGTCGAAGATAGGTGGTCAATTATACAGTGGGAAGGCTTCAAACCCAAGAGATAAGGGAATTCCAGGATTTGCATAGGTACGAATAGCGTCACATCTATTGAAGTAGAAAGGGAAAGAATCGTGAGTCGCTAGAAGAAAGACAGATCCTCACGTCTAGCTATTTCATGACATGGGGGAAAATCAAGGGTATATATAACCAGAATATCTAGTCAACAATGCTCAGCACCCAGTAATTCAAGCCACACTCTCATCCAACCCCATTCCACGTCCGATTTTACGAATCAATGCCCGCTTGAGAAGAGCTTCACGTGCAAGACTCCGTGTATGCCGCGACCAGGAATCGACACCAATGACACCGCGGACCAGCGCAGCCTGCAACGCATAGAGCGCTTGCTGTATACCTTGCTCCTCGGCGACCAAATCATATAGCTGTTTGCCTACCACGGTGGGGGCGACTAGGACGTCATCGATTGGGGGCTGGCCGGCCGGAGTATCTGGAGTAGCGGAGCTTGAAGCAACACCAGAAGCGGAGACAGAGCGGGCCTGCGCGTCTGCAATGGTAGCGTCGGCGCGATGGATAGATTGCTGTAGGACAGCGGTGTTGGATTGGAGGGTCGCATGGAGAGTATTGAGCGCCGAGAGTTCCCCCTGCAGCGTGGTCATAGCGCCATGCAGGGACTGTGATTGTGAGACAAGAGACTGCGCTGCCGTGTCGGATTGAGCAGCATTAGCACGGAGAGTTTCCGCCAGGGTCTGGGACACGACATGAAGGAGTGCATCTTTCTCTGGGTTTGGCGGGATGGGAGGCGCTGGTCCTGCTGGCGCGATTGAGGGTAGCTCGACTTCAAATGGTGAGGTTAGAAGGTCGGGTGTGTCGGCCTTGATGGGAGCTGCTGGGGGTGGGCGGGGATAATTGGATGGGTATGGAGAATGCTGAGGATATGGGGGACCAAGCGGTTGCTGGTGTGGTTGATGGGGGAATTGCGGCTCCATAGGCAAGTGAGCCCCCGTAGGTTGAGCTTGAAGAGGGAGTTGGCTTAAAGACCCAGTCGCATGATGGGGCGGCGCACCACTGTTTCTATAATACGGTGCTTGACCCTGCGCCGACTGGGGCTGCCCCGCTGGCTGATGGGTTGGTGGGTGTGACAAGGGACGAGGGCTGCTTATCGGCCCTCCAGTTTGGGCCGGAGGCGCGTAATTCTGGTATGAGTGGATTCTTGGGCTAGCCAATTGTGCGGATACATATGGTTGACGAGAGCCTTGCTCTTTTGGTGGAGGTAGCGGCGGGGAAGATTGATATTGATCGGCCGGGTGTCGTTGTTGTTGCTGCTGCAGATGCTCGCCAGCCGCGCCTGGCTTCGGCGGAGGCGGGGGTGGAATCTGGCTCTGATGCTGGCCTTGGCTTGTAGGCGGAGACAGAGACTGAGCTTGTCTTGAAGATCCGACACCGGGTGGAAGGGGAGGTAATGGCGGGGGTGTTTGCGCAGCTTCCAGCTGAGGATGTGGCACTTGTTGTCTGTATCGGACAGGTGGCTCCTTGGCAAATATATCCTGTAGAATAGAAAGAAGATCGGTGATGTTGGATCTCTGTGAATATAAGGGTCAGCGGTCTGTCAACTCATATCTTGCGAGCACTAACCTCCCAGGCTTCAGCCCAGTGTGCTAGATAGTGGTGGTACACCTGTCCCTCCAGCGTCACATGTTGCCCAACTCGGACAGCCATTTCCTGTGTCGGCGTCACGTAGGCAATTGGAGGGTCGCGTGGGTATGTATTTGGAATCCAAAGCGCAATGGGAAATCGATATGTTGTTCCTCGGAAGGTGACAGGCAACGTGCCCACAAGGTGAAGGAGGAGGGCCGAGAACCCTGTCTCGTAGGCTGCTGGGCATTAGAAAATAAGAATCGCATAATAGACAATATGGACACTCACTGTAGACATCTGTTCGAGGGGAGAGAGAGGGGTACTGGGAGAGCGCATTGGCAACATCGTGGTAGGTCCGGTTTGGGTCGCGGTAGGTCTGTTGTGGATCATAGTGATCCTGGAGGGGTTTAGTAGGTCGGATAACATGAAGTTTTCGGAGAGACCAACTTTAGACAGGACACTATACAGCCAATTCAGTGTCCTCTGAGGGACCGCCATAGCGAGAGGA